TGCCTTAGTTTGTGGGGCAATGGTTATGTTCACCTGGAAATGGGTACCAGAGACCAAAGGAAGGACCCTTGAAGAGATACATGCATCAATGGCAGGTTGCTTGCACTAGGAGAGGCAGACACCCTCTGATAGCATGTGTTGGGATGGGTGCTCCAAATCATAGTCAATGAAACCGTACCGGAGGTTGTACTGGAAAAGTCAGCGATAGGGTATTTTATGGTAGAATCGTGGTTTAATCGTAGTTCAATTGTTAATATCATTAAATACTATTTACCGGTTTAACCTCCAATATTGATATTTCGTAGTTGAACCGCTAGTACGATACGGTTTCATGGTCCATAATCCAAATCCGAGAGAAGATAATGGTCATATTTGTGACACCATGTTTGTCCTTTTCTCTGTTGAACTATTTTATAATTAATAATATTATATTACCATTATAAAAGATGATAATGGCCATATTTGTTTCCATGGGTCGTGCCATGAGTCTAACAACACATATTTGTTTACAAGTCAACAATTCAACCATCTTTCATTCTTCTATTTCAAATTTTTTGTAATGAAAGCGAAAATTTATGAAGGATACATTTGTCATTACAATGGTTTGTTTCTTTATTATTTACAAAATAAATACATCAACATTGAGATTTGAATTAGGGTGTATTCAGAGAAAGACAATATTCGCAATCACTTACACTAACAAATTTGTTGTCTCCTTCTAAATTAAAAAACTTACAAGAAGCAAAAATCTAAAAATAAGAGAACCTTTTCACCACGATTAGCTAGCTCACTAAGTCTCCCTTAAGTATTTGTATGGTCTTCCCATTTGTGATAGTTGTGGAATTTGGGAAGTGAAGTCATCTTCTATAGGATCTTCTCCTCTTCAAACCTTAGTATGATTAGACTTTTGCTAACATCAATGATTGTCCTTGTCGTAGCCAAGAATGATTTTTCAAGAATGATCGGTGCATCAATACACCCTTCTGTGTCCAGAATGACAAAGTCCACACGGTAAACAAAATGAGCACATCTTACCAAGCCATTCTCGACTATACCAAAATGGATCGGTTAGCTAGCTCGATCTTCATGCTTGTTGGAGTGAGTGGCCAAGACTGAGCTCCTTGTAAATCCTCGTAGGCATAATATTGATGATCGAACCCAAGGCAGCTAATGGATTCTAAAAGGTCTTGACACCGAATGTACAAGGAATGGTAAACACTCTCGGATCTCTCATCTTTGGCGGTCTGCTTTCGCAACCAATAGATGTTGAAGCTACTTTACACATGGTAACCATAGCAAATTCCTCTATTTTCCTCTTTCTCGACAAGATTTCCTTCAAGACTTTGTGTACTTGGGAAGCTTCATAACCATCTCAATGAATGGGATAGTTATCTTGAGTTGCATGAGAGTAGGGGTGGTAAATGGTTTCCCGGTTAACGGTATAACCGGTATACCGTTAACCGATTACAACAATTTCGGACGGCATTCGGGGGTTCTATTGCTTGTTTCGGTATACCGGTAACCGGTGGCGATAACCGCCGTGTTAACCGGATACCGACAGCTACCCGGCAATACCACCACCTGCCCCATTTTCAACCCTCCCCTCCCCTGCTTCTCTTCATCTTCTTCCTTGACTCTCACCCTCTCCGCCTGTCCCATTTTCAGTCCTCCCTTCCCCTGCTTCTTTTCACCCTCCCCTCACCATTCTTCTCACCCTCCCCTCACCTCCGCCGCCAACCAATTACTTTCACCTCCGTTCTTGCAAACCCTCCAACCACGTAACCCTTCTTCTCCCACATCCATGTGTCTTGCCGCAGATATGTGGTGGTTATGGATTCAGATCTAAAAGTGAAGGAGAGAAGGGCGAAGGCAAGAAGAAGCCTGCATCTGCTCCGACGGCTGCGGCCGGCGAGGGAGAGGAGAAGGACGACGACCGGAAATGTTGTCTTCATCTACAAGATGACATGCATCGCCTTTCTCCACTCCTCCTCTGCTCTACGACACCATCGCTACACCTCCCTTCACCAATCGTCGCATCCGTCTTCAGAGGCATCTCCCAGCATCATCTTCCTATGGTCATCTGAGTCGTCGTCGCCATCGGCTTCCTGGGCACCATCGTCGTCCCAATCGCCAACATCATCCATCGAATCGACGGCAGTCGAGCCACCATCGAGATCTGATTGGCCATCGACACCGTCGCCCAATCTTATCACTGCCGCCAACAAGAAAGGGAAAGGTCGAACGGAGAAGTGGGGTTCGCAGCTTAGATGGAGACATGGAGTTTTGAGCGAAGGAGAAGAAGAGGAATCGTTTGTGAATTGTGATGGAAAGTTGGGGGTGCTATTTTTATTTTTTTATTTTTATGGGGATGGGGTTCTGTTTGGGAATTGGAAAGAAGCAGTAAAGGAAATCCAAAAGGCAAAAGGTAGATTTAATAATGTATGACCGGCTAACCGGATTTCTAACCGATAACCGGTTGTTCGGTTAGCCGGTTAACCGGTTGTTCGGTTAGCCGGTTAACCGGTTTAATTTCGGTACGGTATTCGACAGTGATTTGGAGGAAAACGGTATACCGATAACCGGTAAGTCGGTAACCGGTTAACCGGTAACCGACCGATTACCACCCCTACATGAGAGTATCCTTCCATTGAGCACATTTATGATGTAAATCACTTTCAAACAATCTCTTGGGATAAGGTGCCTTTGGAATGTATTCAGGTACATGAATATATTCCTCCTCGATATTGATCTTGGTAGGAACCAATGCAGTCAAAAGCGCGATTCTACCTAAAAGCGGAAAAGGGGTAAAATCGAAAAGGGGTGAATCAAAGCGTAAAAGCGTAAGTTTTTATGCATCCCGTATAATAGTTAAAAATATGTTAAGTACGGCATAAACTATGTAAAATATGAGTGCACAGAGTTTAGATAAAAGAATAAATACCTGCAATTCATGTCTAAATTAAAACAAACTATTATCGAGCCATGACCACATGGCTCTTTCCCTGTACTCTTCGATCTATCGATCTCCCACCACTACAACAGCCACCGCCGTTTCCGCCTCCGCCTCTATATTAATTACATCGTACAATCCAACTCTTTGTCCTAGCCTCCTAGGAACTAATAAAAACAAATGCTTTCCCCTTCATTGACTAGATGACGAATCTTCATAGTTATTGATGTACAATGAAAAACAACTACTCAAATTGGTGAAGACTGAAGTAGTGATGGGCTAGGACAAGGAAGAGACAGAAACTAACTGGTTGTGTCGCCGGCTAGTGGCGACAGGCGATGACGAGTCCGACGGGCGCTGCCGCGTTGGAGGCTTGGAGCCTTGTAGCAGCTACAGATTCTTCGCTAGAAGGGGGCGGACTGCGACAACGGTTGCGAAGCCTTGTAGCAGATGCGGATTATTCGCTGGAGCCTGGATGGCCTGCCTCGCGACGGCGGTGACAGGCGATGACGAGTAAGGAGGGCGGCGGCGGGCCTGCCTCGTTGGAGTGGTGGAAACAGGAGACAATGATTAGGGATTTTGGAAGAGTTTTGCAGCCTCAGCCCGATATCCACCCTATTCCTTTTTTTTTTTTTGTCCGAAGTGCTCAAAACTTCATCGTTTTGGTTTGGTGGAGGCAGCTTTCTCCTTTGCTTGAAATCGGATAAAATCTATCTGGAAACGCGATTTTATACGATTTTAACGATTCTACTAACGCTTTTGAGTGAAAAACGATTATATTAGTGATTTGAAACGTTTTCCTACCCTAGAAAAGTGAAATCGTACGATTTTACGCTTTAAAACTCAATTTTGACTACACTGGTAGGGACTATCACTTCTTCTTCAACAAGCTTCTCTTCTTGAGCTACTTCTCTTTGAACTTGCCTCAAAGGTGCTTGGGGTGTTGGACTCGGAACTTCCTTCAACGGCCGGACACTCCTTAGAGTTACCGCATGACATTCTTATTTTGGATTAGGTTCTGTGTTACCCGATAAAGCTCCTTCAGGTCTTGCTGCTAAACATTGAGCCATTGAGCTCAATTTTGCTTCAAGATTTTAAAGTGTTGCGTTATGATTTCTTCGACCGGCCTCCAAGGTTGAAAGTTGAAACCTTGTTTGTAGTATTCTCCACAAACTTATCAATCGTATCGAACCTCCTTGTGCCAGTGTTGATGAATTGTCCCGCCATATCTTCAAGTTTTGTCAAACAATTATCCGAAGGTCGGCTTTGATCCGAATAGTGACCTTGGCTTGAAGATGAGTTGGATCTTTATAATGGAGCTTGTTGTATCGATGTTTATCCTTGAAAATTGAGAGGTTTTCTATCCAATGGTGAAGACCATAGGGAATTAGGATGATTCATCCATCCCGGAGTGTAGGTAGCACTATATGGATTGTTGGCACTAATGAAGGTTGGACGTGGATCCTCCTCCAATCCTAACTCCAACATTGCAAAGCGGAATGAATTTGCGGTCCGTGGCTCATGCATTAATAGTCAAAACCTCGTTTCTATGTAGAAACGTTTTGGTGATATAGAAGCGTAAAATCGCAAGTTTTTAAGTTTTAAAGCGAGTTGAGAACTACATAAGTTATAAAAACTGAGATTTTGCGTAGAAGCGTTTTAGTGACCTAAAAGCGTAAAATCATAAGTTCCTAAGTTTCAAAACGCGATTTTGACTACTTTGGGCCCGTGACATTGTTTTCTACTAAACAATGTTGTTTCAAGTACCGTAGCATCGTTGGGCTTCCTTGAGCTCCGCGGTTGCGTTAAACCTCTCTGCGATGTTGTTTATCACTAAACGATACCATCTTTTATCATGTGGCACCGAATTAAATGCCGTAAAATTAACCTCTGGTGTATTTTTGTCCCTTCGGGAACATCTGGTGTATTCTTCTCTTCTATCTCTGAAAACAAACAACTCGGGGTGGCAGTTCGGTTATTTCGGTTATAACCGGTGACCGATTGGCCGGTTATCGGTTAACCGAAATAACCACCCCTCATACCAAAAACCGACCGAAATAGACTTTGATTTCCTGGTTATCTCGGTTATCGGTTAACCGAATCACTTTTAAGACAAAAAGCATTACGTCTAGCTTCCGATAACCAACCAAAGTTCGGTTACTTTGATTGCCGGTTAGTGGATAACCGGTCGATTATCGGTTTAACCGACCGGTTAACCGGTAACCGGACACCGAACGGCCACCCCTACAAACAACTAGTAAATTCAGGTAACTCTGGTACACTGTGACAAGTAAGCAATACGCTTTTACATCGTTTGTATTATACAAGGATCCCATGTAATTTGCCACTTTAGTGAAAGCTGCTATATAGTGTTGGTTGTTTTTCTTTTCTTGTTCTTTTCTTTCCACAGGTAGTTTGGGTGTTGGTTTTGAATTTTGATTCACTTCTGGGTAAAAGAGGATTGGATCTCTTCAAGGGTTCTCCCTCTAGTCTCAGGAACCAACTTGGCAACAAACCCTATTGCCACCACACTTGCACTTGCATATAGCAAGAAAGTACCTGATCAAAAAGTGACAGACGAAATTTTTCAGGGATTTGTTGGCAACATTATGACTCAGTGCGTGTATGCATATGTATTGTGACAAAGCATGAATGCCTCCAAATCAGTTTACCTGGAGGGCTCCATTGGAGCAGAGACTGGAAAGAGAATGAGACCATGAGTGAAGATACATTGTAGGATAGACAGCACATTGTCCCTGCTGACCCTTTGATGTTCAGAGGAAATATCTGATCATTCAAACAACGTAAGTTCATCAGGTTTTCCTGGACAGACAGAAGAAAAAAAAAATCCATGGCTTTGGAAATGCCTCGAGTTACTACCTCTGCCACTATTATCCATGGGATTCCATTCCCAACCGACATAGACCCTGAATATATCTGCCATCAAGAAATCAAAATAACCAATGATAAAGTTCTCAGCTTTAAGATTTGGCAACGGATTGGTGATTTAGAAAGAAAATTCCGGCACGCGCGGTTAGAGGAGGCTAGAGAGTTTACCAGTACACTAAGGAGCGCCAGAGTTGGAGTCACTTTACTCCATCCCTCAAAGCCCTGCCACATACAAATCCAGAGGAGATGATTGGAAAACTTTTTCTTGCTCACAAGGTTGAAGAAACCGAATAGTTTTAGTTAGTTCACAAAAACAAAAGGTAACCTGTAGGATGAATGACAGTGCAGTAAGCAGGCTCCCAAAGCATGTTCCAATAACTGCAGCCTATCAATATAAACAACTGAGAGTGCTAATGATTTCCCAACTATACTAAAAAATTTCCATACTTTCATTGCATATATTTACGTTCATTTCTATGTCTAACCTGTAAAAGGGGTCTTCTCCCATACCTATCCATCAACGCTGCAGTCAACACTGTTCCCACAAGCTGTATAAACAAGTAAACAAAAAAAAAAAAAAATTATGAACACTTTACGTAAGAGAATGATACAAGATCCATAATAAGTCAAGTTATTAGATGAATTGAGTAATTGGGATAAACAAGTTGCCGAGAAATTTCAAATTCAAGGACCTGGAAAGATGCCACTGTCAAGAACCCAGCAGTATTTGGGATTCCTGCAAATAAAGAGAAACAAAATGTAAGGAACTTTACTTTTCCATGACTTTTGATTCATGTCACAATGACGGAGCCCGATTTTAGTGACAAACCTGCAGAAACAAAGATAGCGCCAGTATACAATGTGTATGAGTTCATCCCTGAGAATTGCTGCAGCACCATTAACCCATTTCCAACCTGCCATCATTATAATCAAGTGACGACTTAAAAAGGGGACAAGAAGAAAAGGAAAAGAAAACTTTATCGTGCTGTTTGTGTTGGATTCAGTTACACAAAAGGAGGGCTTACTATTAAAGGAATTGCATACTGTTTCTGGAACAGATCCAAGATGCTGCTGTCCTTGGATATACTATGGATGATTTTGGTGTACTCCTGATGGATCAGCGACTCATAGGCCTTTCGAGTCAGCTTATGAAATGGAAGAGGACCATGAATTGTTTAAAATTCACCAAAAACGAAGTCCTTTACCTTGATTTCATCAACTTCCCAAGAAATATCAGCATTTCCTCCTCTAAGCTGCAGCAGAGCAGCTTCAAACTCCTTTTCCCTGCCAGTTTTAGCCTGCAGTCAGAATTTGGTAATCAGCAGGTCAACTCACCAATATACCAGCAAAAAACACACTCGAACCAACTAACCCATTTAACTCAGTCTCTTAATTATTATTCAGGGCAACTTTTCACATTGATGTGTGTATGCCTGGCGGGATATTTTAATGGAGAAGAACAAATTCACTACAAAGCTTAATTGATCCTAACTGAACAAAAAAGTTCATTAATTCTTCAAGTTCAGATGGGCTAAATGACCTAAAAGAAAATTAAATATTCATTATCTCTGCCCTCACCAGCCACCTTGGAGACTCAGGAATGAAGAATGTAAGAACCAGCTGCACTAGGCCTGGAATTGCTCCTGGGAAAGAATGCACAAGTATAAAACAACCAGAATCATGATTCCAAAACTTCAATCTAGTTGTTGCATATTTCAGCAGTAGCTACCTATTAGAGCCAAGGCACGCCAGTTGATGAATGAACCCACAAGGAATGTGAATGAAATGCTGCAAACCATTGTCAACTGAGGAGAAAAAAATACTGTCATGAAAAGACCGGTAAACCCATGCGAAATAATAAACCAACTTCTAACATGTTTTGATTGGGTTTTTCTATTATCTCTTCACCTGAGTGACTGACACAGCTGCTCCCCGTAGGTTCTTGGGTGTGATCTCTGCAACATAAACAGGTGCCTTCGCCAGATAGAAAGAATAAAAAATGGGCAATCCATACCAAGTTAGTTTGTGGATTGTAATTTAAGGTTTGCATCGTAACTGGTATCAGAGTCTTGTTTACAAAACTTTTGATTGGGCCAAAGGTTCAATTCTTTCCCAAATAAAGTTACTCTGGTTATCTACCGCAAGAGCGAGAAAATTAGAGAAAGTTCTAATAATCTGAACCATATTATTACCAGATAAAGAGTGATGGATGATCCAATCCCAAGTAACAGCCTTCCAAAATCAAGTTGCAAAGCACCCTTTTCAAGATACCAAATCCGAAGGTTAGAAATCAAACTTAAATCCCATAACTTCAGGAGAAAGCAACCAAATAAGCAATCTCGAGGAGTGCTGGAAACGTGGAGGGGAAAAAAACACCTCTGCAGTTGCAATAGTCAGCCATCCAACTATGAACAGTCCACCCAGACCCAACATCGTCTGCATAAGTGAGAGGGAAAGAAACAGTATACAAACTTCATATTCGAGCTTACACAAAATCATTTTTCAGAAAACACGACAAGAACAATAAGAAAAATTAGATGTGAACCGTACACGTTTCCTTCCAATGAGTTCTGTAATCTTTCCACCTACTATAGAACCCACCAGCCCTCCCACAATCATCATTGACCCAAAAAACGAGTACTGCACACGAATGTGAAATTGCTGTTAAGTCTATGCTTGTCTGGACTCGTAAAAGAAAAAGGAAAGGGATACCCACCTCTTGAACTGAGAGACCCAGTTCTTCAATGATTTGGTACTCAACTGGAGAAGAGTATCCCACCTGCAGGCAGACGGACAATAGATCATTAACATTGCAGCTATCAATCCAAAGCTTGAGTGGAATGGTGATCCAACAGCATCTGCACGCTCTGAATGCCCCTCACTCTTGTGTTGTCAGCATAATGACCAAGTTGGAAGCCACCATTGATAACAAAGTTTCACAGAATGGAGTGGGTTACTCACAATGCATCCAGTGGATAAGCAGCCACAAGCAGCTGCCAAGATGCTGAGAAGAAGGGTTGGAGTAAAAGGGAGATCTTCTTTATCATTATCCTCAGAGGGAGGAAGGAGAGGCTGCGTTCTTCCATCTTCTTGACTACTGATCTCTTCCTGTTCCTTCTTCTTCACCATTCTGGAATCAACTCAAATTGCAATAAACTCTTGTGAACAAGTTTGTTTTTTTTTTTTTTTTTCTGTTTTGGTGCATAAGTTCTTGTAAGCAAACTGGTTAGTATATATATGAATGTCCCTTTCTGACGGTTGGGAGACTTGGTCCCGCAAATGGGAGTTGGGAGCCCAAGATTTCACAATCCTCAACGTGGAAAAACAGCCAATAATAGAAATATATACCAAGAGAAGATCGAGAGAGAGGCAATATATTAAAATGGAAGGAGAGGCGCTCATGTTTCACGATGCATAGCAATGTATTACAGGACACGCATTAACGCAAAACCGTTTGACTGACAGGCCGCCCGGCAGCTCTGCTTTCTCTTTTTGCTTGCGGTGACCTAGATGACACGCATACCTTATCTGGGCATCGTATATGAAATTAATGTTGACAGCACATGTATCATATTCTGGTTCAATTAGCTTCCATTTTAGTCCGTCCATTTCTTTCTTGTATTGCAGGAAGAATTTATTGAATGGAAACCAAAAAGTTAATGAACTTGTGCGTCCAAATGGAATCAGATTATATATAGACTCAATTTGTCTCACTTGTCGATTAGATCTACCTAATTCTATCCAAGACGTGAACTTAATAATATATATGCCCTCAGTTAACTAGCATTACAAATCTCCAGATATAGAAGATATAATAGCAAGAGCAGCGTACCAACCATAGGAGAGTGAGACAGAGTACGACGAATGCTCCATCCCTTTAACACCCTAATTGTCCCTTACAAACCATGGCACATTAGAAGAATCCAAGAATGACAGTGCTGCCATATTCCATCAAGACTTCTAAATGGTACAGAAAGTTCAGCTACTAGTCAATAGTAGCAATTAGCAACCATCAGCCAACTTTACCCAACATGCAGAGAAGGCCTTATACACCACACAAACAACCATATGCACTAATTCATGGAACATCTCCAGCTCTTATTAAAAAGGGAATTCAATACCATAAACAGACACATCCAAATTCAGACAATGCAATGACAAACAGCAGAAACTGTATAGAAAACATAAACATTTAAGATGCAAACTCGCCATAAACACCATGAGCTGGGAGAAAAGCTTTCCTTCATATGATGCACATCATCTTCCCCACTCTTCCATTAGCTCTCAGAGCTATAAGATCCTTCACCCGATGATGAGGACCCCTCACTCTGATACCTCTTCATTTCTTCATACGCCCACTCCAGACCAGCGCAGTAATGCAGAGGTGGATTGAACCTACAGTCCTCCATGTCATCTGGCAAAAAAGCGCCATTCTCGATCAGGAATTTCACAGCTTCCATCTTCTTCTCCTTGGCAGCAATGTGGAGCGGTGTCCAGCCACAACAAGCCCCCTTGGTCCTCGCATCAATATTGGCGCCACGCTCCAGTAGCTCGTCCATGACATCAAGATGGCCACCTTCCGCTGCCAGGTGGAGCGGCGTCATCCCTTTCGCTTTGGGGCCCAATGCAGCCACGTTGACATCCATACCTTCGTCTAAAAGGCGCTTGACTTCCTTCACGTCACCCTTCCTTGCGCCGACGTGAAGGGTCGTCCATCCCCTGTCGTCCCTGTCGGAACCAAGCTTGAAAGACCGCTTCTTTGAAAAGCTTCGCCTCAACAAACGTTCCTGGATCATACTATTATCCCCTCCAGGCAAAGATTTCAATTTCTCCACAATCAATAGACAAAATATGAAATACCACTAAGACCCTATTTGAGAAAAGGGCAGGGAACGAAGAGCAAAGACGATATCTTTTCTGTAAGACTCTTGTTTACATGATTCGCTAAGGTAGAAACGAAAAGACGAGAAATTTAGCGAGAGGAGTGATGGGCGACGCAAAATGGGGAGAATGGATTCAAACCAGGGCCGAGAACACGGAGATTGGAGAAGGCAACAACAGCGGCGGCGGGAGGAGGATTTGAGATTAAGAACATAATTCAATTGCTTAAGGAAGGATCGTTCTAAGCTTTGTGGGAATCGGAAAAGGAATCGAAACAGGAAAAGAGAAAGATCGAACTCTCAGATGAATCCTGGCGCGAGGTGGATTGGATCTGGAGGTATCATATGGACAAGGATGAATCGGGGACGGATGGACTCCTCTGCCTCAACTTTGAATTCTTGATTCTTTCTACCTCTTCCTTTCCGATCGCGGAAACCAAAACCCTAATTTCGCCTGGAGAAGATACACAAACAGACAACGATTTATGATTTCTTTTCGGCGTCCCTCTTATTAATACTATTTAATTTACTATGTGGACAGGGGATTTAGATGGGCCGAAGGCGCGAAACTGGATCAGTGAGAAGTGTGGGAGAGAAATCCAATTAGGTTGACCGAGGCCCATCATTAACCTTATACATACTACCACACACAAAAAAAAAAAATTGGCATTATTGGTTCATAGTTCACACCAATCAAAATTATGCATTAATCCCAAATGTAATGATTTAACATTTTTTCTACAAAAGGAATATTTTTGTATAAGGGTGACATAGACTACATTTTTTACAGAATGGATCTTGCATTAGAGAATCTCGCATTATGTAATCTCGCTTTCACACTTTAAATGATTCTGCCATAGAGAGGGACTAAATGAAACACATTGGATCCACAATAAAAGTAATGCGTCGAACGAAAAATGGTCAAAAAAGAAAATCGTGCTTGAAACATATAAACAAGAAAAACGAAAATAAAGAGTGAGATCAACCATCATGAGAAGTTTAACACTTGAGCCATATAAAGTATACCCAAAATCCTTTTCACTTCCAAACCAAACAGAGTAGCAACAAGATTAGAATCAGCTCATTTACTTATAGTAAAATCCATGGAGATTGAGCACAACAATGTCATATGTCATCTCCTAGGGATGCTCAAAGGCATTCAACATAGTGAATCTCAAAACTAGGATTACATGGTAGGGGACAAGGCTGTAAAATATATGGCTCCAAACTGAAGAGGGAGTCGATGTAGAGAGATTGAGTACGAGGAGAGCAAAAGAACCTAACCAAGCCTCAAAACTCCAAGGAGACACTGAGAAGCAGCCGCGGCCAACCGAAGAAGACTCTACCCTCCACTATCTGATGACTGACAAGAGGATAGAACAAACAACTAAGGGAAGCTAGAGGGAGAAAAAAGATAATGGCTTCACCAAAAATGTCGCCAAATTGGGAAAACAACTGCCACTCATATAGGAACGAGGCTCCCAAGTGGCAAACTCCATATCCCAAAATGAGCAAGCCAAGAACATAAAATCGTAGATCCAAACAAAGAGCAATAACTCAACTAAAGAGAAAATAAAAAAGACACATCGGTTTTAGAAGAAATAACAAGATTGGAAAATTCCGAGAGAAAATCGTCTAACCAAATACAAGAGGAGCATGAGAATGGGGAAGGGGAAAGGGTCTTTGGGCTATTGTCAGTCACCAAAAAGTGTCGGTGGGAGAGGTTTTGAACCGTAGGAAGAGTCTCTTTTAAGCTCCATTTAAATATTTCAATCATTTGTATGTCTCTCTTTGTGATATGGTAATACATAAACGACTACGGTGCTTACCAGAAAAAATAATAGGACGTCCTTACATTCCAAAGCAGATTCTCATTGTCTACACGATGTTGACTTCTTTCCACGTTGTTTTCCTCTCTCTCTCTCTCTCTCCATATATATATGGAGTAAACTTCTTTTTCAAACTCTATATTTGATGTTAGGTTCAATGTTTATTTGAACCTTAGATTGTGAACTCGAAGTTATATATCCAATTGATGCATTTTTCATGAGTTGGCTGAATCCTTATCAAATTCCTATAATTCAACCATTAACCTAGGATAGAGAATTCCTTGTTAGGTTAAGAGAGCATCTTCAATTGAAAATGGTGAAGCGGTTACACGAGAGTGAATCAATGCACTGCTTAGTGCTGGATTTCGGTCTAGAGGGAGTCTAGTTTTCATTGCCTTGATAATTTGTTTCAATGAGGATAGTGTTCAGCTGAGGAGTTTATTGAAGAAGGGCCTTGTCTAGTTTAGTTTAGTGGCAAGGGTAATTCTGGATTCTTCTTAGTATAAACTTTCAATGAAATAAATTAGGGAGTAAACAACATCGACCTGGCTAAAGAATAGAGGAAAGCATACTCAAGTGACCTTTCTCATATTTGAAAATGCGAATCAATTTACCTGCTTCCTTAGATTTCAGTTAGCGAGTCAAGTTGGCAATCGATAAGTCATTTTAAATACTATTCGATGACCCCCCCCCCCCCCCCCACCACCCTAATATGCTAGCTCGCTCCTCACAAATTTGGGAGAGGTCGTATAACGTGAATATGTTGTCAATCCTTAGAGTAGTGGATTCAGCGTCTTCATAATCAAGCTCATAATGGTAGTTTGTCGTTCGACGATTCCACCGAATAATTAGTTAAAATTTTATGAAGTCTTCTCGTAAATGACATTTAACCTGTAATCTAAATTGTAAACCCTAATTTAACCTGCAATCTAAATTCTAGACCAAAATATTTTTTTACCTTATTGATGCTGGTTGGTACTTGGTGACAAAATGGAAGGAAAAGATTGCATGTAGAATAGTGATTGAGAGAACGGAGAGGAAGCAAGGAGTTGTTTTCTGGTCAACATTTTTTTTAAAAGCGATTAAGGTTGTTCGCTTCAGATTAGGGGTGGCTATGCGGTCCGGTTCGGTTAAATTGGACCAAATTGATCCGGTCCCAGTCCAGTCTTTTCGCGAATATAAGGACCAAAGATTGGATTGGATACACTCCGGTCTTGATCCGGTTCGGTCCCAATTTTATCTTGATTTTAGGTGTTGGGAGTCTCTTATCCGGTCTTTATCCGGGTTTTTTTACCTCAAATCTAAGCCCTAATATGAGATTGGATTGTTTGCTATCCGGTCCCAGTCCGGTCCCGGTCCGGGTTATACGGTCCGGTTTCGGGTAAAACCACACAGTCCTGGACCAAATTGCGAGCCCTACTTCAGATCATTGCGTTTTGCCTTGATTGTTGCTTTCGTCAGTGATCCACTTCCTAAATCTTTCAAGACTAGAGCGATTTACAACAAGATCACAACAACTCTTCAACAATTTCGGGAACGATTAGCTGACGAAAGTATCGATTGAGGCCAAGTTTGGGCAAAATCTTTTTTTTTTTAAGTTTTGTATTGTATGAACTTTTTTAATCACTTTCTCATTTTTTTTTTAAAAACCCAATAATCGAATTATAATGAGAACAATACCAACAGTTACCAAAGAGCATAATAATAATAATATTCCACTAGACAAAACCTTTTTTAATCACCGACATGAAAGGAAAAATAATCTAAGTTTAGGAAGCATATGGGCCACATTAGGTCGACGACGAACTATGGCAAATGGCATCTTTGGGTGAAGAAGATATTCCTTCATGCCTCGGCGGCCAGTCGTAGCGTAACCAAACGTTGCTACGTTTATCAATTCCAATTACATTACACATTTACACTCCTAAAACTTTTGCCTTTTCTACGTTGTTTACCTATAAATTTTGTGATTTTCTTCCCTTCACTTCATATTGTTCCAATTCTTACGTATATTCATAATTTCCACCCACTTGGTTATGATTTCGACTACCAGTTGATGGACCCCCAAGAAATAAAAAAACAGGTTGCTGGGTAGTACAAAAGTTTTAACTAGCCAGTTTAATTATTACTAATCAACGGCTGTCTTCAATTGTTTGGAGAGTTGTTATCATATATAATAGGCAAAATACATCTGTATAGCCATAACTTTCACACTTGTGACAAATATAGCCATTACTATTCGAAAACCACAAATAGCCCAAAAAATGGAGGGTAGTGTGACAAATCTAGCCAAAAACGTTAGAAACTTTAACACCGTCTGCGGTTCCGTTAAATCATTTGACGGAACGCTGACGAGGACGCCATCCGACCTCCGCATGATTAACACTTCAGCAAAATGCACACGTGGAATGCCACGTGTAGAATAAAAAAATGTTGGTCAAACAATTAGTCCATAAAAAATGTAAGATAAAAAAATAAAAATAAATTAAATAAATATTTTTTATTTCCTCTCTTCCATCTCTCTTCTTCCCCATCCCTTCCGGCCAAAACTCTCTGTTCTTCAAACTGTCTCGATTCTTCCATCACCACTGGATTCTTGCCGGAGCTCTTCTCCCTCTCCTTCTACTCTCTCCACCTCGCGCCACTCACCCTGCCGACACTGCTTCTTCCTCCCAAATCTCCACTCCAACAACATTCTAGATTCAAAATGCACCCAACCCCCAAACCAAGATCCTTGACAAGACGATTTCAGATCTAGCGGATGGAGCTCACTGACCAGATGACGACCAACTGCTCTCGTCGTCATCAGATTGGTATTGAAGCTGCTGCTGCTTCTCGGCGGAAGGAAGGGTTGGAGGAACGCAACGACGACGGCAGGAGAGTGGGTGAGGTAAATATCAGAGGTGGGTTCGGCGACTGCTAGATGGACGGGTGATTGGGTTTTTCTGGGTTTTTCTCGTCATTGTTGCGCACCGGCATCGACCCGGCGGAGTATTTTGGCGGAAGAAGCAGCGCGCCTTCCGGTTCTTCCGCCATTAGGAAGACAGTCTCGATTGTACCGCATGGTTGGAGGGCGGCGGGAAGCGGAGATCTAGGGTTTTGGACGAGCAGTGATAAAGGCAGTGACGGTGGGTGGTATAGATCTAGGGGGAGATTTACCGATTAGTGGTGTAGAAGATGGCGGCAAAGACGGCGATTCCGGCCAAGGCAGTGACGGCTACAACAGCAGCAGGTGAGGAAGCAGAGTGGGAACCACCCGCCGTCGTCAATGCCCAGGGGTTCTGCAATTTCGGCTCAGTTCCAGATCGGGTTCTTCGTCCTGGTTTGATGAAATCCGTTTCGTTTCTCACCACCGACCAGCCCTCTGTAGATGAACAAGCAGGTTGCTGCTCTTTGCCTCTGTTTTGATCGGCGAGAAAAACAGAGAGGGTGGTGATATATCTCTGCGTCCCTCACTCTCGTCGACCTCGAAATCCTTCAGCGCAGCAGTACCTCTGCCGAGAAGAAACAAGCAGGTTGCTTGACCTTCTCCCCCATCTCGTCGTGCTTTTGAATGGCTTCCGATTAGTTTATCCTTCTTTGGGCTTACCGCTGCTTCCGATTCGTTTCCAATTTCGGCGGCGACTGGTGAGGAGATGAAGAATTGGCCCCGAATTTGGGGTCTCCAAGAACCTAAATGAGCATTTTGATTTTTTGAGTTT